GCGATCTAAGAATATAATGAAGGTAACAACGTCTAGCATCTGGCAGACAGTCTGCATGTTGACTTTTATTCTGTTGGTAATCTTTAACAAGCTGGTTTATGCAAAACCTTAAAACTACATGCCCTCTGGTGACTAACTGGAGCTGTACTTTGAGCAGAGGTCCCTTTTCACCTCCAGGATCTGCTGAAATCTTATGTGTACTGGGATCCACCTCTGGTTGCTTCTTTGGGTGTCCAATAAACATCTGAGATACCTCCTGTACTGTCACCAACAAGAAACACTCAGAGGCAGGATCTTGTCACCATCTGGCTTGTTTCCGGGTTCCCTGTGAATATACCATCTGCCCATGTGACACCTGGAAGTCCTCATCCAGCCTCGGGCACTGCAGAAGGCATGGTCCTATTATGTCTTGTGTGTCTACACACACGTTCTCAGTGTTCTTTGGCACAGTACACATGGAGGGCAGGATTCTGAGATGGCTGACCCCTGACCCCTGCTCTCCGGTGCTGATCCGTGAGTATATGATGATACTTACCGAGAGGAGGTTGGCAACTGTCATTAAGGTTCCTAAGCGGCTGATGTTGAGCTGGAAGGAGGGTGCTCTATCCCAATCATAGATACTTCTCCTTGTCCAGAGGCAGCCAGGGCAAGTGGGGAGTCTGGATGCATTAGTCAGGTTGGATTTGAGGGACTTGAAGTTTCCATGGCTGAGACGCAGGACCTGAGAGCATCCATCGGGAGTACAGAAGAGCCCTGAACAGAGAAACAAAAGCAGGCCTGTAGTTAATCAGTTACAGGACCTCAGCTCAGCCAGCACCTTGAGAGCTTGAGAGAGCTTGCAGGTCCCTTTTCAGCCTCCAAATAAGCCTGGCTTTGTTCTTGGGAGCCCTTGAGCAGAGAGAACCTTGTAGAGTCCACCTGGGCATCTGACCCACATGCTAAGAGCTGGTAAAAATAAATGTTATTTAAGGCAGATTCCTTTGTGATAACCTGCTGTGTACGATAGAAAACTCACACAGCAGCTATCTCTGGAGAGATGGCTTATTCTTGGTGTGTAAGGCATTTCCCCAGGATCACAGTGTATTAGTTTAACCTCACAACAGTCTTTTTAAAAAGTGTAAAATCCATTCTTTGTTTTCAACATATTGTTATTCCCACTGATCAAGAATAAGACCACTACCACAGTTTAAAGCCAAATTTCAAATAAGCTTTAATTAAATGCTGGCCAGGTGGATGAGCTCTGACCAGATCTGTACCCAGGTTCCAGGGAAATGGCCCAGAATCACAGTTTGCAGTGGCTTAAGAAGGAAAATCCATTAATTCATTGCATTTCCCATCAGGTCCAATCAGGGGCAAGCATACATCCTGACTTCCCTCCAGCCTGTGAACCTCCCACCCACATATGATCGAGCACATCCGGTACAGAAGGGTCAAACAAACTGTTAGGGAGTGAAAAACACATGGCTTGTTATCTCCCATAAACAGTAGCCTCCAGCATTTCAGGAACTGTCTGTCCTTGGGCAAGGGCCTTGCAGATCAGAGGCATTTTTGTTTCATGGGTCTCTCAGGCATAGTAATGAAAACTTAAAATGTAACTTTGGCTCTCGCAATATATTACCACCAGCAGCAGCACTGGGGACTGGCGTGTGGCTTCATAGTAGAGTGCTTGCCTGGCGTGCAGGAAGCCCTGGGTTTGATCCCTAGCACCTCACTAAAAGCGAAGGAAGGAAGGAAGGAGAAGAGAGGGAGGAGGCAGGTTGGTCTTTGGTCAGATCTGGTCTGCAGTCACCTTCCTCCACCCTCTAGGAGCCTCACTGCTAGCCCTAGATATGGGAGACTGTAGAGAATGTCTCAGAGGCTGGCAGAAAAGCTCTGGACTTCAGAACTCTGAATGTGGGTCCCTGCTGTGCTGAAGGGCCTCTGCCCTTTAGTGAGCCCCCGAATCAAAGCAGGACAATGGCTTTCGACACACTCCTCTGCCCTCCCTCCAACCCAGGCTTTTCTCTGAAGAAAAACTAATGTAAAAACCGTAATATCTGGGCTGTGGTGGCGCACGCCGTTAATCCCAGCACTCGTGAGGCAGAGCCAGGCGGATCTCTGTGAGTTCGAGGCCAGCCTGGGCTACAGAGTGAGTTCCAGGAAAGGCTCCAAAGCTACACAGAGAAACCCTGTCTCAAAAACAAAACAAAACAAAACAAAAAACAAAACAAAACAAAACAAAAAACAAAAATTATTTTAAAAAACCAAAAAACCAAAACCCCATAATATTGAAAATTAACGAACAGCCCTGGCTTGTGCCAACTGTGCCTAGGGCCTGAGGCAGGATAGAAAGGTAAGAAAAGAGTTATGTTGACACGGATTGGAGAGCCTGGGACAGAGAAACGCCCTTCATCCTGGGATCTGGTTCGCATTTCCTGCTGATGGAGTCAGGGAGCTTCAGATATCACCGAGAAAACTCACGTTGCCCGTGGAAGCAATGTAGTACTTTCCCAAAGATAACCCAATCAAAGGTGTCAAACCCAGTAAACCAAGTATGCTGACTTACAGCCAAGTCACCTACAGCCTTGAGAGGTTTTCATTACTCCAATCTCATTTCCAAATCTGGACACTTGCCACTCATAAATTCATTTTACAACTTTGTTCGTAAGAGAAAATGCTTAACCTTTAAACTGTTATAAATGACACTCTGAGCAAGGTAGCTTAGGAAGCCACAGGGCCATTTATACAGCCATCATACAGTCAGGTGCGGCTCTACCTGGAGACGCTATGCCCACACGTGGGTATCTCATTCTTTCTCTGAACATCTCTCTTTCTACTAGCTCATGTGCTTAATATCTATGTTAAAGACACCTAAAAAAATAAAATAAAAATTCCAGTTTCATATTAGCTGGTCCTGAAATTCTTTTCTGTGTTGAAACTAAGAATCCTGGATTTTCCTTCTTTTTCGAGACAGGGTTTCTCTGTGTAGTTTTGCGCCTTTCCTGGAACTCACTTTGTAGACCAGGCTGGTCTCGATCTCACAGAGACCCACTGCCTCTGCCTGCCAAGTGCTGGGATTAAAGGCGTGCGCTGCCGCCGCCGCCGCTGCCGCCGCCACCACCACCGCCCGGCCTGGATTTTCTTAAATGGAGGTCCCTAAGGAGAAAGGCAGTGTTCTGGGCTGCTGCTTAGAGCGGTATTTCCACACACACCCCCCCCACATTGCTGACAGGCCTACCCCTCTCCTCCGGAGAGATCAGAATCTCTCAGCAGAATGTGGACTGGAACCTTTGACCCTCCAGAGCCTCACTGAGACCTGAACTCTCCTCCACCAGACAGTGGGCACTCCTGAATACAGAAGCTGTCCTGTACTTTGCAGGTTGCTACTAGAAGCAACCCCATATTCACCACAGCAGGAATAACCAAAGATGTTTCTGTAAACTGTTCAATGTCCCTTGGGAAGGCAGGAATGGGCAAGCCCCGTCAGGCTGGGACTGGTTGAGTCATTTCGTAGTTGAAGCCAGATCTTAGAATCCCGTTCTTTGCAGACACACGAACCTGACTGGCTCTCCCTACACTGCTGGACGACCTCAAGAGGTACTGTGCTGTTGGCCGGGGACAGAGGGGATTCATCATCACGTAGCTCATACTGTTCATAGCAGGTCTCACAGGCCTGTTGTGGTCACTCTGAAATGGCGTGGGGGTGGATAAGGGGCAAGGCACAAGACATCCATGTCTGCCTTTGAGATACTGCCGGTGGGCGGGGAGGCAAACGTGTGAGCAAAGAACACACACACACACACACACACACACACACACACACACACACACACACAGGTGCTGGGGGGATCGCTCATAGGTAAAGTGCTTGCAAGCCTGAGGGACTGAGTTTACCCCGCAGCACCCATGTAAAAAGCTGAGCATGGCGGCGCTTGCTTGTAAATCCAGTGCTGGGGAGTTGGTACGAGGGGATCCCTGGGGCTCAATGGCCAGCTGCTAGAGCTGCATCTTTGTGGCCAAAGTGTGGGACCGTACCCGGGACATGGTGACAGGGGGCTTGGGAGCAACATGGAGTAGGGGAGTGAGGAGGTGAGGCTGGGAGGTGGCCAGGGTCTTGTTCACAAGGACATGGATGCTTAATGGCTGGGGTGGCTCTTGGGGTGATGGGGAGCCACTGAAAGTCTAGGCAGGTGAGGGACTGACTGGGAGGCCGGTGCGAAAGCTGGTGCATTGTTAGGGACAGGCAGCTCAGGGAAGAGAGACAGAGGCAGGGCGGCAGTTTAGGCTCTGACTGAAGAGAAGGCAGAGTCTGGGAGACCCAAAGGACATGGATTTGGGCACCTTCTCCCCCCACTAGCCCTGGGCCAAGCACTTCTCCTAGAATCTCCATGATTAGCAGAGGTAACAGGAGGAAAGGCCTTGCCTGGTACCAGATAATGACTAGGCATGAATGCCCTTCCCCGACCGCTTGGTGCAGACGCTGCTGACCAACGGTGGTCTCTGAGTCAACCTCCTGGGGTCAGGAAAGCCTGAGGCTACTTGTTCAAAGAGGATACGCAGGTGAACTCAGGCCCGTGGCATTCAGCACCATGCCTTGGCATCACAGCTGCCCAAAGCTATCCCAGCTTCTGGAAGGGGGTAAGAAGGAAGAGGACGGAGTCAAACTTGGCCCAGATCCTTGTATTCCAAATGTGCTCAGTGCCAGTCCCCTGGAGTCCCTGGGACAGGTGTCTGGCTGAACCCTAAGCCTCATGGTACCTTCTTGTCATTAGGGAGGTCTCCATAGGCTCATGAGAGGAATGCACAGAGCCACTGTGTAATGCAAGACTATATATACAGACTAGCTTCTGGGGGGAAGGTCTCATTAAACTCCAGAAGCTGCCCTGGGAAGGGGACTCCCCGGGTTACAGAGGACATGGCCAAAGTCCTCTAGCCTGTGATTGGCGGGAGACAGGAACCATAACGTTCCAGCTCTGACCTTGATTTCCTAACCAGAGACTCAAGTTCAAATAGGGCCCGTGCTGGACCTCAACCTCACTCTGCAGTGACTCACCTGGGATCACAGGCAGGGAGGGGACACACCCTGTGTGGATGCCTGCACTGCCCAAAGTGTCACGGCTTCCTATCTCTCACCCACATCTCCCCTGAGCACAGCACTGAAGGGCTGCTGGCAGACCTTAGTCTTGATGGGGTATAGCAACGTCAGAGGTCCCTGTCTCTGCTCGGCCACTCAGCTTCTCAGCCTTATATAGGCATGTGGCCTGCTGTAAAGTGGGGACATTTAGGCAGACCCCACACAGTGAGGAAGGTAACAGACAAGGCTCGAAGGACCTCACCAGAGGGAGAAATTGATGCTCAGAGAACTCGGGTGCTCTCAGCGGATTCTTTCTTCATACACAAGTTCCCTATGACTTGGCCCAGCTTTGCACATACTGCCCCTGTTGTGGCCTGCAGCCACCCTTTAAAGATGTGTCCTCCCAGAGACAGAACACAGACGGAGCTAACCCTCCCTTCTTCTGGGTCCCTGACCTACCTGTTTATAAAAAGAGCAGGCACTTAGCCTACAAGACCTAGCACCCTCCGTGTGCATGATGCAGGGGGATGCTGCTGCAGGAAAGTCTCGGTGCCACAGCTCCTGGCCTCCTCTCTCAGAAGGCAGCGCCCCCAGGAAGGAACACTCCAAGCTGGTCCGCGGACTGACAATGTCTTGGAAGATAGAGCGGGGGAGGCTGCTCTCTGGCCCCCGTGATAAAGCTGTTCCTGTCAACATGGAATGCAGGAAATGCTTGGATAAGTGGCTTTCCCTCTTTGGGCCTCAGTTTCTCTTCCCTGTGAAGCAGGTGTGAGGGGGTCCTGGCTCAGGCCTCCCACAGGTCCCTCCCCTGGATGTCTCTGGGAAACGAGTTTCCAGACCCAAGTTCCATCTGCGGTTTCCGCCCCTCTGGGAAATTGCTTCTCTCGCCTGCGGTAGACTACACTGCCGCTTTAAGTTTGGGCGGGGCCTGTTGGACACTGGCCCGGCACCTGGGACCTAGAGGAAGCGCTGAAGCAGCCACAAGTCTTTGAGGTGGTGAGCGAGGACTAGGAGGCAGTGGGTAGGTGGCTTCCCAGCGGGATCCCCAGCTGGAGACCCAGCAGCTGGGTGGGGGTGACAGGAACGGGGAAGGACCAGTGGCCTCAGCCCTCCTGGGGACCAGAACAGAGACCTCAAGGAGCCTGCGAAGTGCCAAGGGCGCAGCTGGGGACAGCCACCAGAGCCTCCTCAGATGCTCGCTGCCCGCAGAGCTCAGCCGCCACCACCATCACCACCACGCCTTCTAATGCGCTGGCCTCTCCCCTGGACCGCTCCTGTGGCGCCTGGACCAGCCCGATGGCTGCACACGAGGTGGGTGCCAACATCCTGCCTCCCTCCCTCAGGGGTACCTCAGCTTTTGCTAAGGGCGTGGCCTGGACCCTTGGCTTCAACCTGGACCGTGCAGAACGGACCCATTGCCTCCCGCCTGCTACCCAGTGCCGCGGGCGCCAGGTTCTCCGCAGTTCGTGGGCGTAGGTGGGCTCTTTACAGGAACAAGGGCCTACAGGGCTCTCATGGTGCCCCCGCCGCCGGCGGACAGGACATCAGCTGGGACACTGCAGTCTCTCCCCATCTCTGTCTGTCTGGATGCTGGTGCTCAGATCCCTTCTTCCTCCTCTGGCAGGAAGAGGGCTTTCTTCTCACTGATTTGAACTGAACCCCCCATGTAGTGGACAGCCAGGGCGAGAGTGCAGATGATTTCCTGGTTCAATTCCTTCCCAGATGTGGTGGAGTGCTCATTATAGACGGGGTGGGGGCATTTAGGCAAGGAGACACTGGACAGCCTGGTAGCGTCTGAGCAGGGCCACCCTCTGTGTAGTTCTGTGATCTCACGCCTCAGGTACAGCTCGCTGGACTCAACTCCATGGCCCCTTAGCCCTGAGAACCAGGGTGTGAACGCCAAGGTGTGGGCCTCAGGAGCCTGCTCAGTCAAGGTCCCAGAGCTCACAGACTGACCACAAGGAGGGAGAGATGGACAAAGCCTCCTGGTTGGGAAAGGCCTCCCCTGGCTGGAGGGAGGTGGGCACAGTCCCTGGGAAGGGTGATGCCTGTTTCCTTTTTGAACAAGGGTGAAGTAGGGACCCAGTCAGAGGGAGTAGCAGGTCTGGGAGAAAGTCCCAGACGGCTCAAGTTAGCGCAGTGCTAGGGACAAGGGGAGGCTGGCAGAGCAGTGGAGGTGGGACCAGCCTGGCAGGCCCTGACTGAGGGCCAGGATGGGGTGGAACTTCTCTGGGGCTGGAGAGCTTCCTGTCTGCCCCCTCCCCGGGGTTGGAAGTCACACCCTCCATGACAGAGAGCCCTCCCTTCCTCCCCTATGAAGGTAGAGGGGCTGGAGGCACACCCATGTAAGGGGTAGTGAAGTGTAAGGGGTAGTGAAGTGTCTGACGGGGGCTTCTCAGAGTGGAGGGGTCCAGGGGCAGGACACCCTAAGAGCCATGGCCGGGACCGGCCTGAGGCTGGGCATGCTAACTGCCATTCCCTGAAGCCAGGGGGAGCAGCCTGGCAGACACAGACTCATGGGCTGGTCTCAACTGCAGACATCTACAACTTTCTACAAAGACCCAGCTGTGCACGTACAAGGGAACCCGAGTTAGGTTAGAGCTGCATCTAAATCCAGCCCTGACCAGCATCCCTGGGATATCACTGTGGTGAGCGTTAAGCAAGGGGACACGTGTAAAGTGCTTGGTATGGCGCCCGGTTGGGCATGCTAGCCACCGACAATGTGTATGTAGACCAAGGAAGGACTGGGTAGAAAACGGCTCAATGGGGCTCATGCTCGTCTCTGAGGCGCAGGAGTCATCCTGGCTTGATTTTGCTTCTTCATTCTCTGCATGATAATCCATTTTTGCTTTCCTGGAACACAGAAAGCACCCTGGGTGACTTCAAGTCTGTGTCCAGGTGTGCGCTCCTTAGAGATGTGGATCCCCGCTGTACTCGGCTTTGGATGAGGACCTTCCCCAGTTTGGTCTAGGTCTCCTCAGTTGTGGAATACTCACCCACCTGCCTTGGTCATAGGCGTCAAAAACGTTAGAGGTGGACGGGACTGTCCCCTTGTCAGGGCTGTAACACGCAGACCCAGGATGTCCTCGGCTGACTTTTTTCGGTGCCTTGATTGGAGGGAGGATGAACTTTCCCAACTGCTAATCCCAACAAAGAACTGCAGGCCATGGCATCGCTATATGTAGTTGGTGACTCGGTGGTTCAGAAAACTCTAGTTTAGTTAGGGGACAAGCCAAGAAGGGGACAGCTGTAAGAGGTAAGTGGTGTGCTCCCAGAAGGCACAGGAGTCTTCAGAAGTTCCCCCACACAAGGGCCAAGCTGAGCTTTGCAGGGAGGTATGGGAAGTCACCACACCGAGGGATCAGGAGGAGCAGTGGCTTAGAAGTGAGCTTTGGGGACCAGTGCCAGCCCCTTCTGGACTGTAGGCTCTGGGGCCAGGCTTGCTCCCTCTTCCAGTGATTCCTGTGAGTTCAAAACTCACAGAGAGCAAGACACATGAGTTCCTTCCCACCCCTTCTGCCAAACATTCACGCTGAGCCCAACTTAAGAAACAAAACTCTTTAAAATGTGCAGGGATGTTCTGCTTGCATGTGTATGTGTGCACCTTGTGCGTGCAGCACTCAGAGGTCGGAAGAGGGTATAGGTCCCCTGGAACTGCAGTTAGAGACAGCTTGCGCTGCCATGTGGGTGCTAGGGACTGAACCCAGGGTCTTTGGAAGAGCAGCTGGTGCTCTTAACCACGGAGCCGTCTGTCCAGCCCCGAACCCGACTTTTTAATGGGTTTATATTATTTCACCTAGGGGTCAGGACACAGTTCATGGGCTGTCTTGTTAGGGTGGGGATGGCAGCCTCTTTCAGTGCTGTGACTGTGGAAAAGACACCTGTGTAGGTGTCCTGGGAAGATCCTGCTCGATGGCACCACATCCATCTTCACACCGCCAGCACCGTCGTTCACACTTGTCCCGCTCCCCATGACCCTCCATCTTTTGTCAAATGGAGACAAGAACTGGACCCCATGAGATGGTGGCTAGGGGGTGAGAGGCAGAGCGCAAGCCCTGGCCTTTCCCTGCTACTCACAGACTGGCCAGCATAAGAACCATCTACCCATCAGGCCAAGGGTGCTGGGGTTTATGTAGAGGCCCAGATTGAATTTATTAGTGTATGATTTATTATATACTATTATAATATATGATATTATAATCATATATTAATAAATATACATTTATTAGGCCGGGCGGCGGTGGCGCACCCCTTTAATCCCAGCACTCGGGAGGCAGAGGCAGGTGGATCTCTGTGAGTTCGAGGCCAGCCTGGGCTGCATGAGCGAGCTCCAGGACAGGCACTAAAACCACACGGAGAAGCCCTGTCTCGAAAAACAAACAAACAAACAAAACCCCCAAACAAAAAAATATACATGTATTAGTATATGATTAAGCTCCTGCTGTATCCCAGGTGCAGTGCTAGGAAGCTGAAACAGCCTGTCGGTGACCATCAGAGCAGCCCGGCAGTGCCCGGGTATCGCCCTCGCTTCCCAGGCGAGGGAACTGAAGCGCGAGTCAGCAGACGTCTCTAAGGTCTCGGAACATCCTGCTGGCCCGTTTCTTCAGACTCCCTCTCCTTCCCTGTGCAGACATGCGGCATCAGGGGCCGAGTGGCGTCCACGGCGCGCTACTGCATGACGGTCGGCGGCACCGTGGTCCTGGTGATCGGGACGCTCTGCTTTGCGTGGTGGAGCGAAGACGACGCAGCTGTCCAGCCCGGCTCACTGAACCCCAGCGTGGGGCACCCATCGCCCACGATCCCCGTGGTGTGGCTCAAGTCTGTCAGCCTCCTCTGTTGCAGCATGGGTGGCCTGCTTCTGTTCTCTGGCCTGCTTTGGTCCATCCAGGAAAGCACGAAGAGGTCGAGCCGGGGGGACCTGTACCAACTCTCCAGGGGCCTGCACCCCCTTGCTGTGGAGTCTTCTGAGAAGTACTGCAGGTTAGTGGGGCAGGGTGTGGGGGACCACGGGTGAGCCACTGCAGTCACACAATCCAGTATTTGCCCAGCAAATTCTCGTGAGATTCCTCCACTGGACCTGGCCTCGGCCTGTACCCTTCCTGAGGACACGGAAGCCCCACGACAGAGGCAAATGACAAACCAGAGTAGTGAGAGACATGAGGAGGGCAGTCAGAGTCCTGTGGAGATGTGGAGAAACCTGGGAAGCCTTACAGGAGGAGGCAGCAGCCAAGCTCAGCAGAGAATCAGAGGAGTCAAGAGCCCAGTATAGGAAGAGTCCTCGAGGCACAAGAGGGCACTGGCCAGGGCCAGGCACTATGCCGAGTGACTTTTCCACGTCCCAGGTGACGTAGCCAGGACTTCTCCATTTGTGGAGGCAGAACCCGGACCCAGAGACCTTAGATAACTTGCCCAAGGATACAGAGCTATGTGTCAGAACTGGGGACCCCCAGAACTGGGAACCGGTGTTCACCATAGCTCCCTGCCTCAGGAGGCACTGAGGACCATGAGGGAGTGATGTGTGGGCACAGCTCAGCCCAGTGCCCAGCACACAGTAGTGGTGGTGTAGGTGGGGGGTGGGGTGGGCGTGGGGTGGGGGGGTGAGTGAGGCAGAAGCCAACGGCTGCCTCAAAACAGTTCTCAACCGGTTTTGGTTTTTTTTTTTCATTGCCGTTATCCCCAGACTTTTGAACATTTTTTTTTTTTTCTTTCTCATTTCCTTCCCTTTTTGAGACATTCTTACTCTGTAGCCCAGTCTGGCCTAAAACATGTGATCCTCCTGTCTCAAGGGCTGGGATGACAGGCATGTTTCACCCTGCCCAGCTTTTCAGCACGTTTTCTTAGACTACGATCCCCATAGATGTGCTGAGGTTTGTGTATGTGTGTTGTATGGGTACATTTGTGTCTTATGTCTGGGGACCGGTTCTGCCCTGTAAGAAAGCTCAGTCATGCACGTCTCCTTGGGCACTTGTTTATTCAACAAAGCATCCAGTGGGCCTGGAGCCTACACGGGTTTTCTGCCCTCTGCCTGCTGGAACTTCCATGCCGGTGGGAGCCAATGTTGCTGTTTTCGGAAGAGGGAGGCTTGTGACACACGACTCACAGGGGTGCGAGCCTGAGGGCTGCAATGCTGGTGGCCCTCCGTAACATGTCTCCATAAGCACTGCTCTCAGTTCAGTAGGGGCTAGCCTAGGCTCCAGGGACCTGCCTGGATGCCTTCCTTCCTTCTGTCAGGTAGACAGTGTCTTCTCGAGTATCTTGCTATCCGCCCATGGCTCCTTGAGGCTAGATACAACATCCAACAGGTACTACTGAGCCCAAGAGGCAGGCCTCGAGTGGGGCATGGTGGGACACACCTGTAGGGCAGCGCTTGGGAGCTGAGATCCAGCCACTGAGTTCCAGGTCAGCCTAGGCTGCAGAGTTGGACCATCAGAGGGAAGGGCACCTTACCCAGACAAACTTTGCACTTCTCAGATGAGAAACCTGTCTCCGAGAGGGTGACCTACCTGCTCATAAAATGAGTTGGACTCTGACAGCCAGGCCAGGCCCGTCCTCCCGCCCCGCCCCGCCCCGCTCGGCCTGAGCAGAGGTGGTGGTGGTGTTGTCTATACACACAGCCGTGTTGTCTCAACAGGGCCCAGGCCACAGCTGCGGGTTAGGTGAGCTACTCCCACTCCCAGCCCCCTACCCCCAGCCCCGCTGCCAGGAAGCTGGAAGGGGCCCTTCCAGCTCTGAGACCCAAGTTCCAGATTCAGACGCTGGTGTGACTGGGTATGGAGGCAGCCTGCTTGTCTGATCCTGTCCCCATGGGAGGCGCCTCACTCCCTGGTTGTGGAGTGTTTCTAGCCTGGTTGTGGCTAGAAACAGGCTTCTCGTCTGTTGGCTTGGGCATTCCTCCTTCCTTGTCAGGACTTAATCCCCCCTTAGTCACCTGCTCTCCCTGGCATCCATCTCACACCGCTGGGCACCTACCACGTGGTGGGTCCAGTTCCGAGGATTGATAACACTTCAGGAACGAGACAGGAGAGACCCTACCCTAGAAGCTGGCAACTGTCAGTTCTGAACAGAGGCCCCCCGCGGTCCTTCGGTGAGCCCAGCGGACAGCGCCAGGCCTGCTCTGAAGGAGGCCAACTCTGTCGCTGCCGTTTCTGTTAGAAGCCCTGTGTCTGCGAACGTCCTCAGATTTTCCCAAGTCACCCCTGATCTGTCAGTTGCGGCAGGAGGAAGGGCAGACCTTCTTCTGTACCACAGCTCGCGGCTGAGATGCCTGAAAAACCAAACCAGAAAACATTTCGAGGAAGGGTGTATCTGGGCTCTCAGTCGGTGGGGATACGCCATCGTGGTGGGAGGGCACAGCGACAGGGGCGTGAGGCAGCTGGCCATGTCGCGTCCCTCGTCAGCAGGCAGAGAGGTGGACGCTAGTGCTCAGTTCACTTTGTTCTTCCTGTCCAGTCCAGGACCTCGGTCCAGCTGAGGACACACGGCACAGTTAGGGTGGGTCTTCCCACCGTAAGTAGCGTAGTTGAGAAACTGCCCCACAGACATGCCCCGAGGTGTGTTTCCTGGGTGATTCTAGACCTTGCTGAATTGACAACCATCAATCATTCCTCTCTCTCCCCTAGGATGCTGCAGGGCTTCTGTGACATGACCATGGTGCGTGTGCATGCCACGAAGCAGGCACCCCTTAGCTTTTCCTGCTCTTCTTCATTGCGTTCTCGGTCTCTAACGGGCTTGAGCCTTGGCTGCGTACAGGGAGGGCTTGGGAGAGGTGTGGGGTGAGCGTGAGCTCTGCCGTTGGAGGGGGCTGTCCACGTCACTCAATCGTCTGTGAGATGGGTAGGGCTCACTCCTGCCCTGCTGGGTTTGGTCTCTCAACAGAAAGCCAGAGGAGCCAGCAAGGAGCCCATTTCCTGCCCCCACAAGGCTGTCCTGGTCTCTGTGCATGAGACCACTTGGCGGGGCCACCCCCCACAACCACAGAGCTCTGTGTCCGGAATGTACTAGGCGCCTCCTACACACTAGGACGGGACCTGGCAAAGGCCGAGTTCTGGGCGTTCTTGTATTCTGAACTATGACCTTGGACAGTTAAGGCTGATGAGCCAACAGGCTACTGAGGTGACAGGAGCAGGCTTGAGGGCTGTGGCACACCTGCCCTCTAAGCAAACTTCCTGCTCTGTGCTGAGTGCCGATGGTACATGAGCACACGTCCTGCCGGTTGCCGCCTGCTGGCCTGGCTCCAAGCAGACCCAGAACCAGCTTAAATCGTCTGGGGAGGGCAGGGCAAGGCTGGGCGGTATACAAGAAGGGAGAGGAGGGCTCTGGAGCCCCATTACTCACATTCCCCTGAGGGCTGTTAACCCTTTCCCTGCTTTTCCCCTTCTGCATCTGTGGGTGACAACTATTATCCCCATTCCACAGATGAGGAAGAAGAGGCCCAAAGAATGTAAGGACAGAACCCGGGCCCCACAGCAATAGAGTTCAGTGTGTTGCCTCCAGGAACATAGCTTCTCAGCACCCCCACCCCCACCCCCTTTCTTCTTTTCTGATTCGTTGAGATGGGGTCTTACTAGGCAGCCCTAGCTGGCCTTGAACTTGCTAGGTAGCCCAAGCTGGCTTCTAACACAAACCCTGCTGCCTCTGCCTCTGCCTCTGCCTCTGCCTCTGCCTCTGCCTCTGCCTCTGCAATACTGAGATGGCAGGCATGTATCACCAGGCTTGGCAGACGCATTGCCCTCCTTGCAAAGCCTGCCGTGGGAGCTGAGAGGACGGTGAGCACTGGTTGGTTCTCAGCTGCACGTCTCCTGGCTGGTCCCCAGCCCTCTTCTTCCATCTAAGCCAAGTTCAAATCCAGGGCCTGCACAGCTGCTCCATGACCAGGAGGATGAGCCTGCCTCCTCGTGGCCTGCTGTGAGGGTGGCAACCAGCTCAGAGCCCTGGGACAGGGAAAGGCACTAAGCATGGAGGTAGCCCTCAGGGGCTCGGAAGCAGGCCATTTGTCCTTGGAATCTGGCCTGCGAAGCTAGATCAGAGGGGCCTCTGAGGACCCAGTCTTTACATCACACACACCTGTTAGGTGATTCGGTTGCCTAGGTGCGAAGGGTGGGCTGGAGAGTCAGGGGTGGGCTACAATGTAGAATGAAAGAAGAGATTGACTTGGTAAGTAGTGAGCTCTCTCTCCCTGGAGGCATGCAAGGAGAAGCAATTGCCTGGTTAACTTACCATGTCAAGTCTCAAGCATCCAGATGGGCAGGTAAACTGAGGCCTCACATTCTCCCCTGAGCATCACAAGTATAACTTTACAAACGATATTTCAGCCAACTGGGAGTCTTTATGTCCCTGGACCACCACTCGGTCTCAACAAAACACCCCTAAGCACCTCTTCTCAGTGTTTAGACAGTCGTCAATCTCTGCCCCAAGAGACAGCCACACAGTGTCAGCACAGTGACAGAGCAGAGCAGTGTGGAAGCTCAGGGGGGAACAGGAAGTGGGAACAGCTCAGAAAATGTCCCCGGGAAGTGTCCAAGTGGCGAGTGGTGTCAACCCAGAGTGTGGGAAGGGAGCAGAGGTATTGTGAAGAGGAGGCAGAGCTGACGTTGGCAGGCTGCTCCAGCAAGCGTCACATCACGAGAGCTGTGTGGACGTGGCCATGCTGACTCCTTTGCCTCCCTGTGGCCATGCAGGAGAGTTTGGGGCCGGTCCTGCTAACAGCTTCTTTCCTGTTCCCATAGGCCTCCAAAGGAGGCTGTCATTCCCACTTACGAGGAGGCCATGTACTGTCCACTGGCTGAGGGTCCCCTGCAATCCCCCGTGCAGCCCGAAGAAGAAGACCTTCAGTGCCACGCCCAGGGGGATGCCCTGCTGGGGTCGCCATCCCTCACACCCCCACCCAGCTACGAGAGCATCATCCTCGCTCCAGGGGCTGTTTCTGGTCCACGTGCTGCAAGCTCCAGCCCAGGTTGAGCTCAGGCTGCAGGGGAGTTACTGGTCTCCAGCAGGCCCTGACACTGGCCCCTAAGCCACACGAGCTTTGCTCAGGGCATCCTCCAGGGCTGGGTTCACCGCAGGCACTCAACAGAGCTCTGCTGCTGGATGCTGCTTTTGTACCTGTTGTGTGTAAGAGACTATCTGGATGTTAGTTGGCTTTAAATAAACCCCACTTTATTACATCTCATCGTTCTATGCGTGGCTGGTTCCTATGGTTCTTCTCCCTACGAGGTATTGGGGAGGCCATCATCAGGGTCTCAACCGAAATAGGACCTCCAAACTGGTGTGCTGGGACCCAGCAGCTGACAGCTGGGAGATAATGTGCGGTGAACACACAGAGCCAGAGGCAGAAGCAGATGCCTTCCAAATCTACACAACCTGTTTGGGCCAAGAGAACACAGACGCCAATCTAAGCTCCCGTGAGCCTAGGTCCCACCCTGTACCACCACGGCAATGACTTCTTCTCTTGGCCTCAGTTTCCCATTTGTGAGGTGGAGTTGGCATTTTATAGTAGCGCCAGCCCCTGCCTCAGAGAGCCAAGCGGGAGGACCCGTGGGGTGACAAGCAGCGGGCACTGAGCAGTATACTGAAAGCAGGACCACAGCCCTGGGCCAGAGACCCTCAAACCGCTGCACGTCTCAGAATTGGCAGAGGTAAAGCCTCCTCTACCAGGGCCCTCACTACTGTCGCTGAGTCTCCAGATGCGACACCCATAGCAAACTCTCTCTCTAGCTGCATCCCGCCCGCTCCACTGTGCCACCAACTGGTCCAGTTCTGTCCATTCCTAGCTGGTAGTTCCCAGCTCACCCTCGCCCCACCCCCACCCCATCGGCTTGAGCTTCAGATCACGAACTGGCAAATCAAATCCTTTTAATTTGGGGTGTGGTGCTCGTGCTGAAATGTAAAGGACACACAGCGCCAGAGTCAGGGAGGGGTATGTCGTCTGGGGTCACTTGCCCCTCTCTCAGGGACAGTGTCCTTTCTCCAGTGTGCAGGCCAGGAGCCTTGAGGGTAGCAGCTGTCAGGGGTCACGTTAAACCAGCTTCTCATTCGGGATACCATGTCAGTCTCATTCTCACTGGGGGGGGGGGGGACGACACTAAGCGACGTCCCCAAGGCCCCACAGCAGCAGGGACTCAAATGCTGGCGAAGGTGGGACCCCCAAGGGGCCAGCGAGTGCTAGGCTAGGTCCTATCTCCTCCTCACCTGTGAAGGTCCTTCTTCTTACAGATGTGTGTGGAGGGTCCCCATGTGGGGAAGCAGCCTGTGCAAGCTGAGAGCTGAAGGTACAGTTAGGATGCGGGCTCCCCGGCTATGATGAACCACGGCGGGGAGTTGTATTGTCACTGCCTGATTCCTGCAGTCTTCTCAGGCCACCGAGAGCCTCTCAATGACAAGTCCAGGTAGGGCCTGGCTCCCGGCTCCCTTGGAAATGGCAAAAGCCCTTACACAGTCTGGGCTGGGAGAAGGCCTGCTCTGCATAGTAACCTTCAGCTCTTACCAATGACTTCCGCCCCTTGCTCTTTGTTCCCAGCCAGACCCTTGGGCCTCCTATTCTCCCTTCAGGAGTTCTGGCCCCTCCCATTCTGACTTCCTGTCACATTCTCTCTTCCCAGAGGTTTTCCTAGGCCACAAAGGAGTCTGGAGAGGCCTTGCCTCCCCTCTCTGGTGGTGACTTAGGCTGGGCCTGTATTAGACCCTCTGCAATTCCTAAGGGGTTTCCCGAGTGAGGTATTTACCACAGGGCGTAGAGCTAATGAAAGGCTGGTGTGAACAGGTTCTGTCTTGGCGGCAGCTGAAGGGCAGGTGGGGAGGGCCAGCCGGCCACAAAGGACTTTTCTGTCTCTCTCCACAATCTGTTCATCTGGCTCACGAAGGGACAGTGACTTGGTCAAGGTCGCCAGCCTGAGCCTGAGCTAAGGCTATGGCAATCTCACCAAGGCAGGGTGCTGTCCCATTCTGGGCTGTAGTGGCCTCGCTGAGGAACTTGTGGGAGAAGCCAGCCACCCGAGGCAGATCTGCTCCCTGCAGCCCTGCATGGAACCAGGCTGTTCCCTGCCATTGCCCTTCCTGGGCTCGTTTGCAGGCAATCCACCCACACTTGGATTCGTCTTGATTGCTCACCTAGCCAGCGACACCCAGATGTCAGGGACCTTTGTGACTCAGGCTTTCCATACTTGCCCCAGGATCCTTGCAAGTGTGTGTCACTTAGTGACCCCTGCCTGTCACTTCAGGCACTGTCCACCTTAAATCTGGCATTCTAGAAACAAAGTGTGATTCCCTACCCCCCGCCCCTGTGACTCCCCTGTGACCTCCTGGGACAGAGGCTCCTGTTAGTTTCAGGAAAATGTCACCCCAGAGCTTTCCTGCCCTTACATTCTCGGCCTCCTCAGTTCTAGTCCTTACATTTCATCTCTCTCTCTCTCAAACACCATCCAGGGGGTTCCCTGTCCCAGACCCAGGGGACACAGAAGCGAACAAAACTCAGTCACCCCCGCCAGTCACTGTAGTTTGGCTTTTAGTTAGAGACGAACTAGAGACAAAACAGATAATTTGTATAGTATGATAGATGGTGATTAAGGCCGTGGAGCACAACAGATTGGGAAAACTGAGGAAACTCCTTGGGGGAGGGGTCCTGCAATCTAGAGAGTGGCCAGGGAAGATCCCACTAAGGTGACCGACCAGAGGGTTAAAGACTTAGCAAGGGAGATAGCCATGCATCTGTCTGAAGGAAGGTCATTCCAGGCAGCAGGAAAGGCAGATGCAAAGGTCCTGGGGTGTCTGTGCATGTCAGGAAGAGCGTGGAGCCAGAGTGACCTTAGGGTGAGTGATGACCTGGAGGGGTGATGGGCAGGCAGTTTGCAAAAGTGATCTATGGACTTATGGACCACCTCAAGCTTTTACCCTAAGAAGACAGGTCGCTATTCCAGAGTTCTGAGCAGAGTAGTGATGTATGTTGATGTCCACTTGTATTAGAAAGAGACTTGAGGAGTCAAGGTAGAAGCAGAGACCAGTGATAGGGAGATGAGTGATTGGATTCTCGTTTATAGAAAGAGTGTGGTGGTTTGAATATATGGCCCCCACAGACTCATGTGTTTGACTGCTTGACCCATAGGGAGTGGTGTTATTAGGAGGTGTGGCTTTTTGGAGTAAGTGTGACCTTGTTGGAAGAAGTGTGTCAATGCGGGGGCAGGCTTTGATGTCTCATATGCTCAAGCCATTCCCAGTGTGGCACACAGTCAGTCTCCTTCTGCTGCCCGTGGATCAAGATGTAGAATTCTCAGCCATCTCTCCAGCACCATGTCTGCCTGCATCCTGCCATGTTTCCTGCCATGATGATAACGGACTAAACCTCTGAACTGTAAACCATCCCCAATGAAATGTTTTCCTTTATAAGAGTTGCCGTGGTCATGATGTCTCTTCACAGCAATAGAAACCCTAAGACAGAAGTTGGTACCAGGGACTGGGGTATTGCTGTGATAAGCCTGCCATGACTTTGTTTGGAGGAATGTGGGCTTTGGGAGTTTGAATTAGAAACGTAGTTGAACACTTTAAGAGGGGCTTAATGGGCCATTCTAGTAGGAGCATGGAAGACAGTGGTGCCGAGGGTGACGTGAACTGTGGGGACCTGGCTCAAGAGGCTTCAGAGGAGAAGAATTTTAGTATGTTGCCTAGAGATTGTTCTTGTGATATTTTGGTGAAGAAAGTGGCTGCTTTTCGCCCTTGTCTGAAGAGTCGGCCTGAGGCTAAAGTGAAGAGATTTGGATTAATTCTGTTGGAGAGGAAATCTCAAAACAGTCTAGTATAGACTCTGTTGTGTTAACTCTGATGAAGATTTATAATGAAAAGGAGCAAGCTGAGCAAGGAAAAATACAAAATGTACAGATTGAGAAAAAGGGGCACCAGGAAGTGGAATGGAGATTAACCCTGTGTTCAAGGAAATAAACAGATTAAGAAATGGAATAAAGGGAGTGGTGACCTCTGGGCAAGACTCTACCCAGCTAAGCTTCTAACTTGTGAAAAGGAATTAAAGAACAGCTTAGATCCAGGTGTGGTGGTTGCACGCCTTTAATCCCAGTACTCAGAAGGCAGAGGCTGACAGATCTCTGAGTTTGAGGCCAGCCTGGTCTAAAGATCCAGTTTCAGGAAGGACAGCCAAGCTTAGGCCGTGAAGGAAACCACTGAAAATAGCTGGTGAAGATGTGATTGAAGGAGGGGGCCATGTTCCAGCCCCAGCAAGCAGCAGAACTTGGCAGCTTCGGCCATGTGGTTCTGCTTTAGAATCAAGGACAGAAGAAAGGGGTTATGGAATTTGCCTCAGCGACTAAGGAAAGCCTCTGGGGCTAAGCATGTGGCAGGAGTGTCACTGCATGGAAGTCCAGAGAGGCCATTGTGTGAAGCTGTGAAGGTGAAGCCTGGATTGCCTTGGAGACCCCAAGATGTTGGAGATGCCGGAGCCATGGGATACCTGCCGAGGAAAGGTGCCAACAGGGAGTGGAACCAGCCCAAGAGAAAGAAGTGTGTTGCAGTCAACAAAGCTGAATGGAGTTGGAGATCTGATTATTTTGACATCAGACATGGAGATGCTGGTTTTCGGTCTTGCTTTGATCCAGTATTTCCTCACTATGCTCCCTTTCCTCCATTTTTGAATGACAATTTATATCCTGTGTCATTATATGTTGGAAGTATGTGATCTGCTTTTTTATTTTGATTTTACAGGAGATTACAGTTAAGAGGTTTCATGAGTCTCAGAAGAGACTTTGTACCTTTAAACAGGGTTGAGACTATGATAGACTATGGAGACTTTTGAAGTTAGACTAAATGCATTTTGCACTATGTTATGGCTACAAGCCTATGGGGGCCTGGGAGTGGAGTGTGGTGGTTAGAATAGGATGGCCCCATAGACTCACGTGTTTGGATGCTTGACCCATAGGGAGTGGCACTATTAGGAGGTTTGACACTGGAGGAAGTGTGTCACTGTGGGGGCGTGGACTTTGAGGTCTCATATGTTCAAGCTATGGTCAGTGTGGCCCATAGTTGCTTCTGCTGCCTGAGGATCAAGATGCAGAATTCTTAGCTCCTTCTCCAGCACCATGTCTGGCTGCACACTGACGTGAAGATAATGGACTAAACCTCTGAAAATGTAAGACAGCCCCAATTAAATGCTTTCCTTTCAAGAG